CCTGGCCCACGACTCCCTCCATCCACCCCCCCAGCACCCATGACCACGCCTGGCCCACGACTCCCTCCACCCCCTGCCCCCCAGCAGCCATGACCACGCCTGGCCCACGACTCCCTCCATCCACCCCCCCAGCACCCATGACCACGCCTGGCCCACGACTCCCTCCACCCCCTGCCCCCCAGCAGCCATGACCACGCCTGGGTGCAGCAAGACCATGCCCTGGGATTGAAAGACGTGAAGGAAATTGGCCATCGCACCTTAAGCATTAGCTGCCTCCTTGGAGAAGGCTCCATGCCGGCCCAGGGGACACGGCCTGGGGTCCCCCCAGGGTCCCTCATCGCAGCAGAGTGTTCTGGATGAGCCACTGGACGTAGGGGCCCAATTTCCCACGTGCCTCAGTGAGAGCAGAGGGACCGGAAGTGCCCACCCAGCGCAGCCCAACCACGGGCTCCCGGCCCTGCAGCGGGAGGCGGAGGCAGTTGCCTGATGACCCTAAATACTGTGGAAAGTCCGCGCTTCCCACAGCTCATGTCGGTGAGGCCTCCTGGGGGCGGGCGGGACTCCTGTCCCCTGTGACCGGACCATCAGCGCTGTGGGCCACGGAGAAGAGCTGGGCTCAGAGCCCCGGCCGTGAGGGGTGACTGCTGCCCCTGAGGGGTGACTGCTGTCCCTGAGGGGTGACTGCTGCCCCCGAGGGGTGATTGCTGCCCGTGAGGGGTGATTGCTGCCCGTGAGGGGTGATTGCTGTCCGTGAGGGGTGATTGCTGTCGGGCCCCATCTCCTGAGCAGCAGCCCGTCCTGGGTGCGGGCATGGCCCCCGGGGCCGGCGAGGATGGAGAGGCAGGGGCTGTGGGGAGAGGTGCGGCCCCTGTTCTAGGACTCCCTCTTGATTCGTGGAGTTCCTGTCCTAGATGGCACTGGGGGTGGATTTCCTGCGGCAGCAAAATTAGCTGCGGGAGACACCGGGTGCGGTGGGAATAGCATGCGCTTTGGGTCAGGCAAAGCTGGGCAGAACCCCAATTCCACCGCCCTGCTGGCTGTGCAACCCGGGCAGGGAGCCTGGCCTCTCTGAGCCTCCGCTTCTCATCACTGAGGGGGTACGGGGGTGGAGGGATGTGGGGCGCAGGGTGTGGGGTGTGGGGGTGT